CGAAAAATTAAACATTAAATATGTTGTCATTATAATCTAGACTCTTTAAATCATGCGTAGGGCCTTATTTTTAAAGATCTAATTACAATGAACATTTAATATTTGTATTTTCATGAGACAACCATTCTTGTAATATTAAGACTTTTCAAATCATGCGTGGGGCCTTATTTTTGAAGATCTAATTACAATGGTGTTAATAACAAAGGCCATGGGGCAATGTATAAAAATCCCCGCTCCCACTCAATTTTTAATCATTCATAATTAGGGTTTTCATTTTATTTATTTACATGATATAATGCATGCAAAACGTCTTGATTTTAATCCAATTAAATTTAGAAAATATTTGGACTTTAAACGATTCACTAATATTTAATTTGAAGCACACTTTAAAAATAATTTACAAAAAAATAATTTTGCGTTTCCCAATAAGTGCCCTCAAATTAATTAGTAATCAAATCCAATTAATTTTCATAACTTAATTAATATAAATCAAGCCATTTAAATAAATATCATGGATCCAATGCATGAATAATAATTAATTAACAATTATATATTCCATGCATTTCATACATCGCATAAATAAACAAATAACAGATAAAGCAAATAAAATGGCCAATGGAATCAGCTTTTAACATTTAACCACTCTAAGTATTGCGCGAGGATCATCCATCGGCTTGCAAACACCCACATAAGGCTGGTACGCACCGAGAGAAGCAAAACACCGCTTGGAACGCGCCTGGAGGGCCCCACACGCGCTTACACGCGCCTGGGGCATGCTGCAGGTGAAGGCACGCGCCCCCACGCGCTGGCACGCGCGTGGGGCGCGTGGGACTCGCCCCCACGCGCTGGTACGCGCGTGGGGTGCGTGGGACGCGCCTCCACACGCCTGCACGCGCGTGGAGGTCCTACACCCTTGGCTGGCGCGTGCAATGCACGCGCCAGCATATGTCACCTCCTGGCGCGTGTTCCTCACGCGCCAGGCTCACCCCACAGGCACCACATCTGATTATAGCCTCCTCCGACGCCTCTTCTCGCCGCCGGCGATGCTCCGGCCACCGGAAAAACGCCGAAAATTTCAAAAAAATCAGAAAAATTCCCAAAAAATTAAATTAAGCCTAAAAAAATTCCAGAAAAATTCCAAAAAATTCGGAAAAATTCCAGAAAATTACTGAAGCATAATTTAACCCTTTTGGACCTTCTTAAAGTTTCATAGCATCCTTTGACGAAGATTACATGGCTTTAAAAATATTTACAATTTGAAATATAATGGAAAAAATTAAATTATATCGTTGAACTTTCAAACGACTAAATCAAAGCCTTAATTACATTCATCCAAAGATAAAATTACATTCAATATTCCTATAAGCTTCATCCATGGCCCAAAATACATATCATCATCCATTCACAATTATACATACATCATCATGTATCAATATATTAATTCATACATCAACATACATCAATAAATATATATGCATATCAAAATTGGATCCATGAATGATGAATTTTGATAAAATCATGATCTCTAGTAATGAATCAAACCATGCTCTGATACCACTGTTGGGAAACGTGCAAGTTTTAAAAACTTTTCGAGGGATTTAAATTCATAGATCTTGATTCATCAAATAGAAACAAGTTTTATGCAAAAATAAAATATGGTGTATCATTCAACTAAAAGATTGAATACTTACATCAAGGTTTGAGTAAACCTCAGATCTCTCCTCTAAAGTAAATGTTCTCACTTATTGTAGATCCCTTTTGCTAGACATCTTTTCCATGGATCTCCATCTTCTTGGTAATTGTTTTGCCTTTAGGAATCACTCATAAGCCTCCATGAATGACCTTGGAAAACTAGGCTTGTGGGAGCCTCCATTAGATGAGAACATAAACCCTAATTTTCCAGAGAGAGAAAATAAATTCTTTTTTCCTTCTCATTAAAAATCACCCCTAAAATATACATAAACTATGTATATTTATAGGCAACATAAAAGTAAAGAAAAGGAAATAACTAATCCTTCTCAATCTCTAATTCACATGTCTCAAATCTAATATGATTCCAATATCAAGTTGGGCTATGAGTGAGAATCCATTGGGCCTATTATTTTATTGGTTACAATGAATTAATGATTGGCCCGGTCCATGGACCCAATTAAATTAATTCATAAATTAATTTCTACTCCACTAAAAGAAATTAATTGAACTCCAATTAAATAATAAATAACCTCTAAGTCAATGTTGCACTTTGACCCCTCTATGCATAATTAGTTATCGGATAAATAATGCCATCAATCCGACTACTTAATTAATATATTTATTTTGGTACCTTTGATTATTTCTGGCTTGATCACAATAAAACATTTGTTCGACAAAAATAATAATTTAATAAATAAATGTATTATTATTGTGATCAACCATAATCAATACAAAATAAATACAAGTAGCAATGATGCAAATATTGAAAATATAACCCTCTAACTATTAATTACATAATTATCCAAAGTGTCGGTTTAAGGATTCCGAAAAATCCGCCGAACAAATCAAAGTAATTATTAATTAATAAAAGAGTCTATAATTTTCTCATGCTTAAGAGTCAAATGCTATGACGGTGATAGGGAGTAATTGCATACGACGGCTCTCGCAATATATCTCAACCTAACGCGGATCCAGTTCAAGTCTTAATTAATTATGAGTCCATCCATAATTACCGACTATGAACAATTTATAATTACTATTTATATATCATGCATTGATTGCCATCACATACATATATATAAATATTTCTTGTAATTACATGGACACTATCAATTTCATAGTGAATCGAAATATAATACATTTAATTCACCAATTGTATAAAACATAAATATTTCAGAAACGTCAGGAACATATGTCAATTAATCCAAACAGGAATTTGCTATGCCAGGGCATATAACTCCCAACAATATATAATCAATAATAAAACTTAAAACTGGTAACATTTGTTATTTTCATTAAACAATGGCATGTACATTTGTTATTTTTATTGTGGTTTAACAATCACATTGTGTTGCTCAATTTCAACGGGGAAAAATTGAGCACCAGTCCCAGTCAGTTAGTCCAGAACATATTTTAGCCGGGGAACAAAGATCCACCTCCTTTACCGCCTCGGTGGTGGTGGTGGTAATTAAGCTGCTGTGTGGTGGTGGTTGTGGAATTTGCGGGAAGGTGAAAAATGCATTTGATTGGGTCAAATAATAGAATGGAGGCGAGTAGATTCCTTTCCATTACTCTATCTCCTCTGCATAAGGACAAGAGCATTTCTTGATGGGGAATAGCTTGAATCTCACTGTATTGATGGCATTGAAGGTCTGAAATGGAGGCTCACTTTTGTTGTGGAATTATAGAGTGTATAAGTTGTTTGTTTGTTGGTAAACTATAAAACTATCTATTTTTTCAGTAATTATAACTGTTTAACTTGATAATAGTTTTGTAGTATAGTGGTATATATGTTTTCTATCTATTAAAGGGAATTGTGAGAGTGAGTCTACAAAATTAGAGTATGAGTGGTGTGTGATTTTTTGCCAATAAGAAAATATATATATATATTTTACTTAATTGAATGGATAAGTGGGTTTAATAATACTATCTATTTCATGTTGTATATGAGATAATTAATTCTGAAACAAACATTCATTCTACATTTTGGAAAAACATAATGTTTAATTTCGCCAGACAAGTACCACTACAGCCCTAATACAAGTGCCCGGTGTTCGATTAAATTGGCGATTTAATTTGTAATAAATATGGATAGAAGATGATGAAGTTTTGACGACCCATTTTCTTTATTCATCTTCTTTTTCGTTTTGCTGCTTCCTTGATTCTTTCTTTCTTTCACTCACGATTCTAACTATTTTTTATTTTGCAAAATTGAAGGAAGACAAAGTATTAAGAAGTCTTGATTCATAAAATCAAAGTGAAAAATACATATAAACTTATATGTTTGCTTGAATAGAAAAAATAACCACAATAAGATTGAAGGTATGTATTTAAGTTTTTTTTTTTTTTTTTTTTTTCAATATATATTGTATTAGTTTTGGGGATTTGATTAGGAAACAAAACTTCAAAAGTTCATTAATGCGATCTCTCTTTAATATATTCAAATTTAGAAGAGAGAACCGTGAGTTAGAGAGATAAAGAATCAAAAAGCAGTAAAAAGAAAAAGATGAATAAAGAAATTAGAGAGATAGAGAGGGTTCGTCAAAACCCTTTCAACTTCTTTCCATATTGATAGGACAGAGTATCATTATTCATACGGATATGATACAATAAATTTTTTTTTTAAATGATATAGATCCCGATAATAAAAAATAATAAATATTATTAATATATATATAAATCAAAATTTAAAAAATATTATGAATTTAAATGCAAACAACACCTCCATTACAACAAATAAGGGTATTTGCGAAACTGTCACCAAAAAAAGCCTTTTTGTTACACTTTATAAAAATTGTCACAAATGACTAATTATTTGTAACAGCTATTATCATCCGTCACAAATGACTAATTATTTGTAACAATTTTTATTTATCCTTACAACTGACCAATTATTTGTAGCATCTTTTATAATAGGTCACAAAGAACTAATTATTTGTAACAGTTTAGTTTAGTACATTACAAATGACTAGTTATTTGTAGCAATTTATTTTCATATATTACAAATGATTGTTCATCTGTCACTGATTAATTATTTATAACGTTACTTTTCATATGTCACAAATGACTAATTATTTATGAAAGTTTTTACTAATATGTCACAAATAATTTATTATTTGTAATGTCACAAATAACTTAATTTTTTTATTTAATTTTATTTTTCTAATCTAAGTTGACAATTGAATATAACATTTGTTTAAAAAAAAAATATAGATTTGTGCGACTGAATTCAGTCACAGAAAATTGCAATGGTGACGGAATGAAGTCTGTCACCATTTTAAATCACGTGTTGACTCAATCCCTCATTTCTGTACCACTCAATCAATCTCGCTCAGATACCTCTCCTCTCTCTCTCTCTCTCTCTCTCTCTCCTCTCCATCGCTCACATATTTATGGAGTCGCAAATCATCTCAAAGCAATTCATCAGATACACCACTTTCTTCGCTTCTTCAATTCCGAAGAATGACCAGATCGCAAACCCTAGAATATCATCAACATCTTATCCCCAATTAGATGAATTGAATTGAGCAAATCCATTCCATCACCAGATTTCATAGTGTCTCCCAATACTTATTTATTCTCGCAATCGGAAACCCTAGAATCCATGGTAGGAGCGGCCTATGCTCTCTTCCTTCTTGACATCAAAGGCCGTAATCTGGTGTGGCGCGACTACCGTGGCGATGTATCAACTGTTCAGGCCGAGAAATTCTTCACCAAGCTCATCGAGGAAGAGGTTCGCCTTTTGTCTACTTTTTGATAAATTATAGTCCAAGTTTCTTGGGTGTAAAAATTCCATTATATTCTATGCAATGAAGTTATATATGTACATTGCAAAGTTAATATTTGCTTATTTGATCAATGTATTTAATTTTACTCTCTTTCCCGTGTCTTGTCATGTCTATAGGGTGAGATAGGTTTGAAGGGAAAATTAAAAGAGCTATTGTTTTTCATTGATATTAGAATTCGATACTAGTTATAAAATTAGGCGTAAATTCAAATCTCTCTATCTATTTGTAGTCTATTGATGGATTTTTAGTTTTTATCCTCTCTTAAGATTTATAATTAATGGAGTTCATGCTACTATTATCTTCTATCTTGTAAACATGAAAGTCAGAGGATCTTTCTTCAAATACTATTAAGAGAAAGTTTGGGAAGTGTGGTATATTTATGCTGCATATGCATTATATTTTATGATGGGGAAGTATTATACATTTAGATACACAATGTTGAGGGAAATAAATTAATAAAATGGGGTAAACAAATGAAATAAGAGTGATATGTTGTAATTTGTTTAAGTACAAATACTATAAAACATGAAATTGACTCTTGGTCGATCAAATTCATATGGGATGAAGGTGAGTATAACAATGACTCTGTGCGATTCTTAGTTTGATCAAGAACAAATAAAATTTTAAAAACCCAAAACAGAGAATAACAAGTTTAAAATTTGAATCTTGTGAATATGCCTATAATCTTTTTAATTAGGACATTCCTTATGACTAACTTCCTCATTTTACGAATATGTATCCAAAGAAAAAAAGTAGGGGTTTGTTGGTAAATTAGTGGTACTGTACCATAGCAGAGGAAAAGGACCATGTTCCCAACATTGGAAGTCATAGCAATTTAAGTGAAGGTCCCAGCTTTAAATAGTAACCATGCAGTGAACTATCCCCATTCATTTCCTATGAATTCATTCCTTTTTGCCTCCAATGTCACAAGCCCAAACTCATACCCGTAGACAATCTAACTAACATAATAGTATCGAATGGAGTTCATGCTATAGTAGGATATAATAATATAGTAGATCATCTTTATAAACTTGATTACTAAACCCTTGTTTGTGCTTTCTGGTTTTTCAGGATTTCTCTTGTTTTTATTTTGTTTGTTTGTTTCTCTGTGTATAATTTTCCTCCAGGCCAGCCAATATATATGTGTGTGTGTGTATTTATATATGTATAATACATTTGGGGATTAGCCTTTAGAATTTTTCATGTTATTATGCATCCAAAAATGGTGGTCTCGGGGTTATGTTTTGGTCTTTATCTAAATAACAGAGACGAGGAATGACATTAAGGGTGCAATTTGGATCGTTAACCTGAATCCAAATTAATTTTAATGCTCATGTGCAATAATTTAGCAAGCTTATCAAAGTCATCTCTAACCGCAACCCCCTTAACCTCTCCTGGAAGTAATTGAACTACATTTCTATTGCTAGTGTACTATTACATATATGTTTAGTTATTTATATTAACAGTGTTTATTTCTGTCATGAATTCTGTTATGTTGTAGAGATTTGGAGATCGATCTGGTGATCGAAGGGACAAGGGTGTTTGTGGATCGTGATGGTGCTGGGAAGCACATAGAGTCAGGTGCCAAGAAAGTGCTCATCACAGCTCCAGGGAAAGGTGACATACCCACCTATGCGGGCGTCAATGCTGATGCCTACAACCCGGCCGAGCCCATCATTGGCAATGCCTCATGTACCACAAATTGCTTTGCCCACTTTGTCAAGGTCCTTGACCAAAAAATTGGTAATACATCTCCCTCCTTACTTATTTTTGTTCTTCTACTAGCAGCATTCCTCATGCATTTATTTGGGGCAATGCATGGTTGCTATAGAAAGCATTTTGGTAGTTGGTGTCATTATATTGGGGCGTAAAATGTGGGGCTATTGTTATAGTAAGGAAGAAAAGATGGTGAGATATGTAGGACATAAGTAAAGAATTAACCGGAGGTTCCTTATAGCTCATTAATTTTTCAAGCAGAGCTCGAATAATGCATATTACTATACTTGCATTCAGATCCAAGTGGGCAATTATATGAAAGACCATGTGAATGAGGCATCTGCAGTGGTGCACATAATTTATATAAGCAAATTATAACAACTGGAATTAGTAATTTACGGTGAGTTAATTATTATGGACTGGGTATTTAGAGTGATGAACATTGAAGGTCCAAGTGATGTTCACGTTGGCCCCTGATGCTCTATTAAAGCTTCTTCAATGATATGGACCCCTCTGGACTATATTTTGCCGAATCAGAAACATTGTGATTAGATGTAACTTGGAAACAGGAATGTTTTAGAAAAACATAATGGGAACATAATGGGAACAAAATATGTAGATGACATTAATGCTTTGAAACAGTTGAGTTAGGTTCTAGTTTATGCTTGGAAACAAAGTTATGTTCTAGTTCATGTTCTTATATTAGTGTTTTATGCCCTAATAATATTATTATTGTTGCAGGTAAAAAGGGTGATGGTAGAACATAAAGCAACATGAAGCATTGGGAAATATTTTAGCTCATTTCTGTGTTGTTTTTGTTAGCAAGAATAATATGAAAATGTATGTTAAAACTTGAATGAAATTGTTTCTATGTTCTAGAAATGAAACTACTTATTTACTATATATTCTTCAAGGGAAATGATATTTACGCTGATGGATTTGAACTATTTGTTAGGCAGAACCCTAGGTAAAAGAATGCGTGTCTCTCCTCTCTCTCTCTCTGGCCTGAGCAATGTTCCACCCTCTCTTTTGGGTCTTCTCTGATGGTTCAAGCGAGGAGACTGAAATTCAGAAATCAATAACAAGCAATTTTATAGTATTTTATACGGAAAAAGCTATGTTAACAGATAAGTTAAATCACAATACAAAGAAGCAAAATTTGTATCCAGAGCACATCAAACAATTAACTGATCCGTCCAAAATAAAATTCAAGAGCGATACAGAGATCTTCGCCTATGAGAAGCAAGGACTGATGGTTCAGGCGAGGTGGAGGAAAATGTATTTTGGCCTATTTCTTGCTTGCCTAAGATCTAAGCCAAATTGGGGATGACTCCTCTCGGCAGCTCCACCACTTTGAGATGCCACACGCCGATTAAGAACTCATTGTCCGCACACAACTGGGTTGTTGCACCTCTGCAACTTCTGGCGTCGGCCTTGCGGGTCAGATTCCACCCAACACAATCAGAAAATTGACTCAGCTCTGAGTCCTCAGCCTTAGTGCCAACCGCCTCTCCGGTCAGATTCCCTCCGATTTCTCCAATCTAAAGCTTCTCTCTGGCGGCAAGTGTGTCTCACCAATGCTTTGTATTGCTGCTTGTGAGCTCATTGGCGGCAGGGAATTTGACTTGATGCCTACCGGCGACTCCCTCCTCGCTTTCGCCTTTGAGTATATCACCACCGCCACAACAGAGGTCTCATTGGCAGCGATTGTTGCAATTTGCGTCGGCGGAGCGCTTCTTCTTTCTCTCTTCCTGATTCTCATCATTTGTTGGTGGTCTCTGTTGTTTCTCAAACAATTTTTCATCGTATCACAACTAGATCCAGATATAATTTTGTGGGTGGTATGTTGTTTCTCAAATAAATTTTCACCATATCACAACCAGATCCAGCTACTGCAGACGAACAACCATCATCACAGACATGATGAGAATTAGAAAGAGAAAGAGGAGGAGTTGTTTTCCTTTTTTTTAGTTGTTTGCCAGCCTAGTTGCTTACTAGGATTGTCAGCTGTATTCTGCCAAACCAATCAGCCAAAATCATAGGCCCATCTATCACGACCCATTCTTCAATATTTGCAACTTATATTGTTTCTTTAGTTAGAAACAATATCTCTGGATGTGGAATTGTGATGATAGAGTATAGTTGAGATCTAAAAAGAAATAACAATTTGGAAAATAGCATTATTGAAGATCAAAATTGAAAAGGAAAGCGAAAGGACAAAGAGGGTATTTGTGACCGTAAATATTGTCACAAGTACAATATAGGTAAAATTTTGTTGTCATAAACAAAATTATTTTTGACCCTCAAAAGAGACCTGTCATAAATGGATACTTCAATTGTGATGGTAAAATAGTGTCCCAAGTGCTATATTATATGTAACAAAAATGTAACAAGTGGCATATTATAGGTAACCATTGCTAATTTATTTTCACAATATAGAACCCGTGACGGATAGAACCCATGATGCAGTGTAAGGTGACGATTTCGTGGCGTGATATTTTTGTAGCTAAAAATATATGGTATTAAGGATGATTTTTTCTGTCACAAATACACTTATTTGTTGTAGGCTAGTAGGGTTTGTAAATATCAATTAAAAATAAAAATTATTAATATCACGGAGTTAATTTCACAACACATAAAACAATTATAGTTAGTGATAACAAAAAATAAGTATTGCTAGTCATAATTTAATTATATACTACTTTATTAGAATTCGTGTTAAAAATTTAAAAGTATATTTTCAAATATATAACACTATAGGTGCAAAATTTCGGTCAACCAATAATGATTAAGAAAAATAGAACAACTCACTCAACAAATAAAAATAAACAAGAACCGTATAAAGAGAAGTGTAGAATTGCTTGATCCTTTTATTAGAGGTCTGAGCCCCTATTTATACACAAAAGGGTGGTCGAATTAAGGTAGGACTCGCATTGCTTGTCCTCCAATTCTTCCTATACAGAGTTTCTTTACAAATAGAGCTTTCCCTTTGTAAAACTTTCTATACGGATTACTTGCCTTGTACAGAACTTCCTATCATAGAATTCTTCTTTTATAACAAATCCTTCTACTGATAGGATTTGTTCACTCTTGGATAACTGGGCTGAATGTACCTTGAACCGGTTGGGCTTGACCAACGGGCTAGATGTTTAGCACGTTGGACTGATAATCTCTTAATTCGGGCTTTAATGGGATTAAAGACCAAATAACATTAGTATCGGGCTTATGAACAGTGATCTTGGACTGGCAGCGTTCTTAATTTGGGTTTGAGCGAAGTGGGCTTTATAAACTTCCCAAGGATAAGTTTATATTTATGATGACTTGGATTAGTCTTATTGGAGGGAGATTTTTCCCTCCACACTTTGCCCCCAATTCCTTATTTAATTAGATTACGGTTCCTATTAAAAAGGGAATTGAAGTGCATGGTTGTCTATTTTGCAAAAGATGGTCCGAAGATTGCCCATTGCCATTCTGCCTTAAGAGATTCCATAAGGGTTACTTTTGCTCTCACTGCGTTTCTTGCGTTCTTCACTCCGTCGTCTTCGTCAGGTTAGTTCTTCGTCTTCTTCTTTTTTGATCTTTCATCATGAGCATTTCGACTACTCCTGAACACATAGAAATCATGGATTCTGAATCTACGCCTTCGTCATCCCCTACACTTATTAGGGTTCCTTCCCCTAAGGTTCCCAATCTCACTGGTTCTGTAGACGATCTGATAAATGAATCAACTATCCCTCTTCCTCAAGTCGAAACATCCACTTCTAGGTCAGATTATACCTTTACTAAGGAAAAGAGAGAGAGACAATTTTGTCTGTTCGGCGTATTACTTTTTCTATTGAATCCACAATGGAAGACTTCGAAATTCCCGAGGGGGTTGAGATCGTAGAATACCCCGAGGGTGCTGACTTTTATGCCAGCGAGGGCGTCGGAGATGACGAGTTGCTCCTCTCAGTTGGGCATCTCAACGCTCTTCGGTTCCCCCTTCACCCTTTCTATCATTCAGTTTTCATTGAGTTAGGTATTTCGCCCCTTCAAGTAAACCCTAACTTTTTTCGAATAATCTTAGCGCTCCTTGTCCGCCGAAGGCTGGAGAGTTTTGACCTGACTCTCGCTGACTTACTAATTAGAGAAAGACCTTGACAATGATGAGAAGAAAACTTCAAACGCATCCCTGAAGGCGAAGATTACTTCTAAGGCAAGGGATGTCTACAAGAAGCGCTTGGCTGAGTCTGCAGTTAAGGTGGAGACGTTGGAGACTGAAGTCCAGCGCTTGACCGAGTCAATCAAAACTTGTGTCATTGCTGGGAGACAGATGCAAAGCCGTTACTCCACTTTGGTGCACTTGTCGAGCGCAAAAGCTTACTGGTCTGGCTTTAATCAAGGCTCAGGCCCCAAAATAATGGATCTGGATGCCTTTGATTCAAACATGGGGGTGTCCTTCCTTTACGATGAGGGTCCAAAGGCTCAAGAGGCTGAGGTGCTTTTTGCTGAGATGGTGAGGGCTCACCCAGAAGATCCTTCAAGCTTATCAACTCCTGCAGCTCCTGATCCTTCAATTCCTCCAACCTCAAGCCCTACTGTAGTGTATGCTTTTGATTCTGCTCCATTCGATCCGAAGTAGAATCTTGTAATTTAATTCTTTGTAATGGAACGATATTTTTGTGATAATATAACTTTGTTTTTCAGGCTAAGATGCCTCAACTTTATTTTTCTGAAAATTCATGAATGCCTTCAATATTGCATACATTTTGCTGCTGAATGGTAATATTTTGAAGTATATTACCCTGTCTAAGGTTTCCTCATTTGTTGTAATCTTAGCGCGAGGGCTTGTGAAGGTAGTATCTATAAAGTATTTTCCTCGGTATTGAGCTTGTGGAGAAAAATGTTGATCCAGACACTTAGGGTCCAAAGCGAATCATCCCTCGGCGCTGAGCCTGAGGAGAAAAATGTTGAGATGGACACTTAGGTCCAAAGCGAATTGTTCCTCGGCATTGAGCCTTAAAGGAAGTTTGTTGAACTGGACACTTAGGGTCCGAAGCAAATTATTCCTCAGCGTTGAGCCTTAGAGGAAGTTTGTTGAGCTGGACACTTAGGGTCCGAAGCGATTTGTTCCTCGGAGCTGAGCCTGAGAGGAAATATGTTGAACCAAACACTTAGGGTCCGAAGTGAATTGTTCCTCGGCGTTGAGCCTTAGAGGAAATTTGTTGAGCTGGACACTTAGGGTCCGAAGCGAATTGTTCCTCTGTGATGAGCCTTAGAGGAAGTTTGCTGAACTGGACACTTAGGGTCCGAAGCGAATTGTTCCTCAGCGTTAAGCCTTAGAGGAAGTTTGTTGAGCTGGACACTTAGAGTCCGAAGCGATTTGTTCCTCGGCGCTGAGCCTTAGAGGAAGTTTGTTGAGCTGGACACTTAGGGTCCGAAGCGATTTGTTCCTCGGCGCTGAGCCTGAGAGGAAATATGCTGAACCAGACACTTAGGGTCAGAAGAGAATTATTCCTCGGCGCTGAGCCTTAGGGAAAATCGGCTAAATTGGACACTTAGGGTCCGAAGCGAAGTCTTCCTCGGTGCTGAGCCTTAGAGGAAATATGTTGAACCGGACACTTAGGGTCTGAAGAGAATTATTCCTCGGCGCTGAGCCTTAGGGGAAATCGGCTGAATCGGACACTTAGGGTCCAAAGCGAAGTATTCCTCGGCGCTGAGCCTTAAAGGAAATATGCTGAACCGGACACGTAGGATCCAAAGCTAATCGTTCCTCGGCGCTGAGTGTTAGAGGAATTCCATGAATAATTTTCAATAGGCAAGGCTGAGGATTCAAAAATGATAGGAGGCCACGAAAAAGAGTAACAGTGACTGGGAAGTCTCCCATTCGTTAGTTTGGGAGACTATCTTTCACTGAAACTCTC